AAAATTATTATGTAAAATTATATAAGGCTAAGTAATGAGATCGTGGTTGGAGGGGGAGGCTAAGAGGGATGGGGTGGGACAAAGAAACTCACAGCACGAACGCCACTGAGGTCGGCTCCTTGCCATATCAGCAAGTGTGTCCAACCAAACGTGTTCATCGTCTTTCGGACCCCAACCAGGTGTGTAAAGGTACAGTGTCCACTACTGTTGTATAAGTGATGAGTCGGCTATTGCACCTGCTCATACCCTATCAGGTGTGTCTCGCTCAAAACGATTACCTACAATTTATCCAGTTATATATTTGATCAGTGACTGAGAAGAGTCGCTGAGGTAGCGAGTCCGTACAAACTAACTTTCAAGTTACCATGGTCACTGTGTAGCGAGAACGACGTGGAGAGGAGGACAGAGAGTGTATTGACGCAAGAACGGGCAACTGATAACTCACAAACCCATACAGATTTGGACCGTTTCCTTCCCACGACGCAACGCGGGTAAACATTTGTGGGACGGGCCAGGTGCCTACGAGGTTGGACTTCGAGATGACACCACCAAATTTCCATCCCGTATCTCCGCTTGGCTACACCCGATTCTGGCCGGCCATGAGTCGTTTGAGAGCTCGCGATTCGCTCTCCCGTGGCTACATCACTCAGCCCGCGTTCACTCCTGTGGGCTTCGATAGCAGCGTATTTGTCTGATCCATTGCCTTCGCGACAAATACCTCCATTGTTCTGGGCTCAGGATCGTTACCAGATGCCGCCGGTGATCCGCTGTCGGCTCGGTCGGCAACGCTCGCAGAGCTTTGTCTCGTCTCATCCATTGCGCCCGTTGTAAATGCTTTACTATCCCGTTTTTATTGTCTTTTCGATTCATGAGTAATCATTGGGTTCCGCAGCCCTACAATTGGAGGGCCATATTGTTCAGGTGAATAACGTGCATCGATCTTTCGGAACCTTCCGCATGTTACCTCCATAAGGGGTTTGTAAGTTACATTCCAGACCTAAACCTGCCCTCCACAGCTTTGTGAGTTGGACTATCTAACTTATTTTGCATAAGTGCAAAGAGTGATTTTTGCGAGAACGACAAGCGATCCTGCAAAATTTGCACATCACCGGTAGTGTCACCATACCACGCGGCGCAGGACGACTTTCCTGACCCCAACGCGGTAGATTCAGGGCGAGCGCAGCGGATACGGAATCGATGTTCTTAATGAATCCCACACCTCGACGTAGTGAGTCATTCTCCCTATCATCAAAACGGCGTCCTAGTCTGTACTGGCCTTTGCTTAGTCGTAAAAGGCAGCTTGCGATAGTCTGTTTGTATCTTTCTTGCACGCTGGGCTATGTTGTGTGTCTATCAATCGGTAAAGTCATTGTGTATCCATCGATTAGTCGGCAAACTTGCCTGTGTGCGGCTAATCGCAACTATGTATCCGGGGCTGTTGCAATCTGTTCATCTCTCTACTCTACACGCGGAGCAGTCTGCAAGAGCAGTTCACACGTCGATTAGGCTGACCTATGAGTGAAGCTTGGTGCATCGGGTCACCGATGTAGGCCGAATTGCATACTGGTGACAACTCCAGAACCGAGGACGACGGATTTACCACCGATCGACGGCGAGGTTATTAGAATGGCCGCAACATCGTGAAAGCAGTAGGTTGTTGACTCGCCCTCATCAAAAACACGGGGCTTGTCAACTCTGTCATTGTGACATGCGAATGATGAGGAGGTGCGCTTTGAGACGCTATTACTCTGTATGTTTGTTTCGGAGGCAATGCTGAAGGGGGTTACAACATAGATGAATGTCACCTGTTGACCGCACTGTCACCGTGTTGGGAAGTCGAAAATGATTTACGTGCACCTGTGGTGCAAAATACATAAATCGAACAGCTCGCCAGTTGTCACATAGCTTTAAAGAACGTAGTCCTAAATGATTGGCGAACGGAGGCACTGGAGTTTTTGCAAGCGGAATTCTCTCCCACCTATTCGAATCAGGTTACAGCGTTAGGCTTCCGAACGTATTTACTGCTGATTACCAGGTCCCTTTGAACAATTTAAAAGGTTTGCGCCTAAGAATGCTCGCCACGGCAGAAGCTATTGCGATCCGAATATTCCAACCTCCGCTATGCTCACATAAGAAGTTTGTTCAAACGCTAAGTCTGCCCTGGCGGAACAGAAATCAACCTAACCGTCACTCTGACACCGGCGTCGTCAGTTTGATTACATAACACCTTGCAGCGTAAACATAACAACCGATCTAATGCCCTCGCAACGGTAACGGGGAGTCTTCTTTTCAGAAAGGTAAAACAGTGGGTCCCCTTCAGCCATTTCGTCAGAGCAGTGAGAAGATATAAGTTGCGATATGTTAACATTTCGATTGTTCTCATCAGTCGCAAACACAATACATGCGGAATTCATGGACAGTTATAAACAGGGGGAAAAGTTAACACACCAATCAAAATGTCAAAATCAAGACCATGGTAACTTAATTGATTGTCTCATTAGTTTCTGTACACACAACACAGGTTGATAAGCCCCAATTAGCAAAGCCTCACTAATAATTGCCAAGCTTATCGGATTGTTGTTGTGTTATAACACCTTGAACGCAGTCTCCGGGTTCACCTGATGTCGGGTTGCCAAGAGATGCTTGGTGATAGATGATGCGGGACTCCTGTTCATCCTCGGATCCACTCTGTTTTGTTGCGTCGTCATTTGCTCCACCCACCTCGGCACATGTTCAGCCACCCTCTGAACTAACTGACAGTCAATCCTGCCTATGTAATTGTCACAGCAACCGCAGGTGAACTGGTAAACGACGTGAGAGGCCGAACTAACTGATGAGTTGCTCTGGCTGTCTTGAAGAACAAGGCTTCGCGTTGTATGTGTGAGTCGCAAATGGGCGGTCGCGTAGGTACGCGTAAGGGCGGACCGGAGTTTATGTCCGATATCATTTGATACATGGTCGCCTTTGAACGGTAAGAACAAATAAACATTCTTTTTCTCTGCTGTTAACACCGGTATTTTCTCCTTGGGAGGCCTGCTGTGGATCTGAACAAACTTCTCAGGATACCCATTTGACACCAAGGCTTTGAACAAAAATTCTTCAGCTTGCAACATTTCGGGGCTACATATCCGTCTGGCTGTGTAGAAAAGCGTTTTCACTAGGCCACGTTTGTATGAGACTGGGGCAAAGCTGGAAAATTGTAAGTACTGCCCACTCCAAGTTGCCGTGCGATGAACCGTGCGCTGTAGTGTACCATCGGTCCACCTCTTAATGAGTATATTCAAAAATGGCAGACCAACATGTTGCTCCAACTCATGGGACACCGATAGGTTTGGATGAATTGAATTCAGAACTGTCAACAGCCGCGCAAAATGTTCGTTGCTGGTTAAGACTAGGATGTCGTCCACATATCACATGTACAACGTAGCTTCAACAATGATGGCAGTAACTTGTCTTACTATCAAGCCGAGAAAGATGTCTGTTAATACTGGTCCCAGAGGGCTACCCATAGAGACGCCGTCGACCTATTTATAAGCAGTCCCCTCAAACTCGAACCGTATATTTTCTGTGCATAATACGATGATATCCCTCAAATACTACAGCGGCAGGCCAACAGACATGTTTTGACTCGCGATGAAATCACACAGATTTTCAACCGTCTCATGTAGTGGCACGTTTGTGAATAGGGAGTCGACGTCTATCGAGTACATGTGCTCCGCACCCAGTGACACGTGTTCCCGTGTCTCGGTTAATTCAAAGGAGTCCTTTAGACAATACGTGGCCAGGAGTTTACGTACCGGCTCCAATATTTTCGCTAGCCACCGCGCAACGTTGTGATATGGTGAGTTGTTCATACACATAATCGGGCGCAGTGGGTTAGCTGCCTTGTGTAATTTGGGAGCGCCCCTCATTCTGGGTGTCTGAGTGCCGGTCGGTTTCAACCGCCTGTATTGCGGGTCATTGATGTAACCATGTAGTAAGCGAATCTGCAGATTCCTCGCCACCTGCTTCTAGACCAAGGTGTTGTTTTCTGGGGTCTTTCCTAACTGGAACTTCCGTCTGTCCCCCAAAATAGATTCCATCTTTGCAATGTAGTCAGATAGGTCCATTATCACAATGCCCAATAACTTACCCGGCTGCAGAAATATTATGTGTCCCATTTGTTTTAAGTCCTTGATCGCCATATAGTGTTTGGATGAACAGGAGTCCCGCATCATCTATCACCAAGCATCTCTTGGCAACACGACATCAGGTGAACTCGGTGACTGCGTTCAAGGTGTTATTACCCAACAACAATCCGATAATCTTGGCAATTAGTGAGGCTTTGCTAATTGGGGCTTATCAACCTGTGTCGTGTGCACAGAAACTATTGAGACAATCAATTAAGTTACCATGGTCTTGATTTTGACATTTTGATTGGTGTGCCAACTTTTCCCCCTGTATATAACTGTCCATGAATTCCGCATGTATTGTGTTTGCGACTGATGAGAACAATCAAAATGTTAACATATCGTAACTTATGTCTTCTTACATAACACCTATCGATCTGTGTGTGCAAGACAGGGACTAACTATCTGCTGTCTAACAATTGACCTACATCTGAACCAATCACCGTGCATTTACCTTCATATTTTAACCTTATACGATTTGTACCGGCCCGTAGATGAATCATTTAAAACAATTGTTTGCTTCAGACTGGTGTTCTTCATAAAGTTTATATATACTACTGATCCATGCTTGAAGCGTAACGCTACTTCCTTGCTAACGCAACTTACCAAGCTATTAATGGCCCCTTTCTAGCTAATGTGTGAAGATGATCAGTGAAAATACTTACACTGAAGATGTAAAAGATTACTGGAGACGGTGTTGTTGGCATATGATTACCTGCGGCTTCTCACTGTGGAAGAGGGGTTTTGTTCGAAAGGACCCACCGCTAGTTAAAGACTTAATGCTCAGGTGCACTTGTAGCGTGGGGTATCACTGCGTTATACTGCACTCACCTTAGGGGCGCATCTGATTTCTGCACACATAGATGATAGACGTGACTGATTTGCTCATGTAGAAGTTTCAGAAACTCTTCTTGTTCCGTTTTGTCCAGGCCTGCGAACTCGAAGACACTGTAACGTGAAAGTGGGGAATCAGTGACCGATAAAACTCTCAGGGGTGTAAAGAGACCTTCGACAGTAAAGCTTGCGAAGTTGAGTGGAAACGGTTGGGCTAACTTTACCTGCTGAGTACTAACGAGGAGGAAAGCAATCGGGAGGTGTTAGTGTCGGGTGGTAGCAACATCGAAACCCCTCCACTTCGGATACGGCGCTAGTGATCGGACTGACCAAGGTCTGCTTCAAGGTAAACCGCTGTCTCCATAGAGATTGCGCGTCGCATTCCAACCACACGGCTGGTACTCCAAATTCAACTTTGAATTCCTAGCCACTGCTAAGTTTTGCTCACATACCTCAATGACCTAGTGATAAACGCGTCAACCGTTAGCCATTAGGCTCCGAGTTCCACTCCCTGACATTTGGATAACTGTAAGAATAACGCCTGTGCCCAAGAAGGAGTCTCAAAGCTATCGTCCCATATCGAAAATGTGAGGAACCTCTTGTTCCTCAGATGTTCATACGCACCCAAGCAGATGATATATACACTTTTGCCTATAATCCCAACGGCTCCACACTGAATGCTGTGTCTTACCTTGTACATTCGATTTCGTCGGCACTGGATGAAAAACGTATAGCAGTGCGCCTGCCATTACTTGATCATTCATATGTTTTCTGCAGGGTCAACCGATCAATATTGCTCACCAGTGAGGTTCATACAAATGGCTGCAGTGTTGTTACAGGCTACTTTACGAAACGTACATACTGCAGTCAGCTGAATATAATACAATTTATAAATTATACCCATGGAAATGTAAGAACACAACTTTGCGAAAAACACTCTTTTCGACAAATCTCCTTAGGCATTTACGATTATAAAATGGAAGGGCAGAACACAAATGGCTGATGAAGCCAAAGAGGTGGGAATGATGGAATCACGACAAACAGAAACTCAAAAGTCTTGATCAATAAAGTTCAACTCAGGGAGTCTTGCCTCATCACTCCAGTGTACTGTATGCATGCCGCTTAAGCGACTTAGTGGTAGACGGTACGTGACAGTTTAAGTGCTTTCCAATATGTCTTGGGATATCGGTTGCGCTGTAAACATTCTCGTATGCTAATATCGGTCCACACATCAGCAAGTCTGGCGTTAAACTTCAGACATTTGTTGAACTCCCTGAACGCCTTGGGTTCCTTGCTCTTTTTTAATTCAGAAATTATACCCATGGAAATTTGGTTTGATAGTTAGGTAGTGGCATTTTAAAAGGATTCATTCTCTCCCCCAATGTTTTCTTAATGTATGGAAAGACTTTCTATACCGCCCAACTTTATTGGGTGGAAGGATGCAGATGACGTCATTATGGGGTATATGGCTCCAAAGGTTAAGGCAGCCACTCTTCAGAGTTGTCTGGATAAGTTTATGTTTTGGTCATCGTCCCAGTCTCTCATTCCGAACACTTTAAAATGCCGTGATCTAACATTCTCGTTTCTTCGGGCTAATAAGGTACAAGATGTTTCAAATACCACTTTTTTACTAGCAATGCATGATCAGCTCATACCCAAGGACATCAAGTATCAAACCTTGGAGTCTTTTTGTCCACAATCCTATCTTGGTAGGCCCGTGTCGCGGAAATGTTTCACAAGGTTAGAAGACTATCCTTTTACGTCCTTAGACTTGAAATAATCTTGGTGCCACGTGATTTAATGCTTAAATTTGTGACTGAATGCATTGTGTCTCGTTGGCTTTACTATTCCCCGGTACTTATTCCTGGACTACTGAAAAAGGATGACTTATTGTTCTTACGTTCGTTAAAACTTATTTCCAGATGCAGTGGACTGTCTAGAGAGGCACTTGTTGATTTTCTTGTCAGCATGCATGTAGACGCTTGTATTAGCGTTTTTTCAAACTTCCAAACGACTCTTTTCATGCACTGTATAAAGCATTGTCGAAAGCGCTGGCTGTTTCTTTCACATACTCTAAATTTAGAGCCTTCCTTTCTGTTACTGCTTCTTACCACAATTTCACGATTACTTGTGGTCCCAACGAAACTCATCAGTATGATGCACCCCTGTTTACTGGGGTAATATGTCGACACATTTTGTGTCATACACCTTATTAGCTTTTATTCATTAATTTCATGTATTTCTCAATTCGCAATGACAGTGTGAATTGTTGGAAATGTACCTACTCAGGTGCATGCGGCCTATTTTGACTTCGAATTGACATGACTTGACTAGATGCTTCACGACAAGCTTAAAAACTGAATTCCCACTCGCTTGTTCAAACAGGAAGCGTTGCTACATAGTCAGTCGTCATACCATTGTAGTGAAAACGACACGACAGGGGGGTAGACGTTTATTGCACACCGAAAATGGGCACATGAGGGTCTCGCGCGCGCCATCGAATATCGACTAGATTTCCGTCTCACAACGCAACACAGGTACGGATGTTAGAGACGAGCCAGTCCTTTCGCCTCGGGAGCTCTGACTTGGAAAATCCGCCTTCCTGTTTTCGCCTCGATCCCCACTTCTCTGTACCCGATTGGGATCGGCCAGGAGTCGTTCGAGAGCTCTCGACTTGCTTGTTCTGGGCTGTGTCAATCGGCTCGGCGTCGGTCCTGTGGGCTGCGCTAGCGGCGTATATGTCTGATTAATTGCGCTGTCCACATATTCCCGCTCCGTAGTTCCGGGCCCAGGCTCGTCGCTAGCCGTCCTTCTCGATCCGCTCTCAGCTAACTCCGAAGAGCTCCCCCGAGGCATTCTTGGAAGCGGCCCCTCTACACCATGAGGTTTGGGATGCACATAAAGTATTTCCTTAAAGACAACTTCCTGTGATCTCCAAGGTCATGGAGTCCATTGTAGCTGAGGCTTTGATGAGGTACCTCGAGAACAACAAAATTCTCGTTCTGGAACAGCATGGATTTCGCCAAAATCGCTCCTGCACAACTAATCTCTTGATTGCTCGTGCAAGCTGGACGGAATCCGTGGACGCTAGTGTAGGAGTCGACGCGGCGTACTTGGATTTCTCAAAGGCATTCGACCGCATACACCATCGGATTCTCCTCCACAAACTCCAGAAATATGGAATCGGTGATCCTGTTCTGGGCTGGATAGGAGTCTTTCTCCTGCAACGTCACCTGAACATGAGGGTTAGAAGCAACCTATGAGAATCTAACGAAGTTCAATGCGGCGTACCTCATGGCTCGGTACTTGGACCCCGCCTGTTCTTGGTCTTCATAAATGATCTCGCGAGTGTGCTATCTTCTAATTGTTTGCTATTTGCTGATGACCTGAAGGTATGGTGCACTATAGCTGCGGTGGAGGTTCACACAGTGTTACAAAAGGACCTGGACAAAGCGTACACATGGTCCATCGAGAACATGCTGCATTTCAACGTCACCAAGTGCAAAGTTCTCAGTATACGTCACAAGAGTATGCACAAGTACCGCCTAGGACCACAAATTCTACAGCGGGCTTCTCACGAGTGCGATCTCGGCGTGATAGTTCAAGATGACCTCGGTTGTTTGAGACTGACTGAAAAGGCAGCTAAGAAAGCAAACCAGTACCTCGGCCTTCTTCGCAGAGCCTTCGGGAAGTTTGACCCATCGATCTTTCCAAAAATGCTTAGTGCCTACGTGAGGCCGCACGCGGAATACGCTATTCAAGCGTGGCAACCCTGGCTCAAGCACCATCTCACCGCGCTCGATAATGCACAACGTAGGGCAACGAAGAGCGTCAGAGGTTTAACCAGCTTTCCATACCCACTCAGGCTGAATACCCTCAAAATATACAGTGGCTGTTATCGGCGTCTAAGGGGCGATCTCATAATGGTGTACCTAATCCTGAGAAACTCCAACCACCCATGCCATTCCCTTGTAATACTCAGTCAAAACACTTCGGTAAGAGGTCACCAGTTTAAGTTGGTCACGCGGTTCAGCCGCCTGGAATGTCGGCGAAACTATTTCTCCCTTCGAGTGGCACAGCCATGGAACACCCTCCCGGAACATGTAATTAATGCACCCACCCTATCCCTTCTCAAAAAAGGTCTTGACGATACCCTGTCACATTTACACTACGTGCAATAGCCCATGACCACCTGATGTTGGCACTAATGCACAACAGACAGTGGATAGTGCCATAACCCTACTCGAGAATGAATCACTCCAAACGCCTTGCACGAAATTTGATGAACGCTACTACTATAGAAACTGGATTTCCGTATCCTGTTGACCCGAGATAGTTGCACACGAGTAAGCGTTGTCCTTGCTATCTTTTTATTTTTTCTCGCCGATTATGTGATCAATAACCACTCCCCTGTTGCTTTGTGTGCGTACACTCTCATTTCAAATTCAATTTATACGAGGATGCAGTTACATCTGTAATCGCCCAAACTGACGACTCTATTATGCCTCCGCTATCTTTTTTGTCACGCTATACACCCCACGGGACATGTCAAGCACCTGCTTTTTTACCCGTTATAAATCATTGTTCATTGTTCATTGTTCAACTTGCGTTAATGCTTAAGGCAGTATTGCTATTTGGCTCAGTATCAAGCGGCGTTCCACCAGTTATTTTATACAGCAATGCGAAAATGCTAACACTTACCCTTCCCTAAATGACAGTTCTTTGGACTTCTCGTTTTCCGATTCAACTTCAGCCTGGAGCGATCGCTGCTGCTTGGCCAGAACCGAGTTATCAGTTTCACTGTTCAAAGAAATGCAAAAGTCATAATGATGTGCTTTGAAGTCTTAGATAATGAGCGTTTCTCTCTATGGTAGCTAAAAACAAATGGGTGGAATTCAGGCGTAAAGTCCAGGTCCAAATCCACTGAAAAATCTAAGAATTTGACGGAATAATACGCTCGAACGGCAAGTAAGGTTGCTCAAGCAGGTTCTGGGGATCAAGAATTCATTGACTCTAACGAAATGCTAGTGGAATGTTACTGATGCGTAGTGAGAACTTTGGTCTAATTACGCTAATCCATCATCGCCAATCCCAATCAGCAGGCTTAAGCTAGTCTGGAAACGCACCAGACACCAGCGTTTTGACATAACTAAATAACTAGTAGTGATATGATAATGCTCTATATTAGCTGCTTCGAGCTATACTCTCATGTAGGATACAAGATGATGATTCTTTCATACCGGATGTCCAATAAACTTGTACAGCTCGATGGCGATGTCAGCTTTTTACGGCAGCGACACACGGACGCTGTGCAAGAAGAACATCCAATATCTAGAGCGATTCCATGATCACATCTAAGAAACCATGGTAATCAGAAGGAAATGTAATTTGGTCCAAAAATAAAACGACAAAGTTTTTGCTTGTTTCCCACACACCGGTTTTGTTTTATTTTTCTTCTCAATGTTTCCGGTATTAAACATGCGGATCTATGCCGTTCTGTATCCAGTACTTCCGGTTATTTCGGTTGCGAGCCATGTATTCAAGAATGTTGAGTCATTGGCACTTCTCATCCTTGGGTCTCCATACGTCATCATCATCATCATAAACAGCAGTACATCAGTCATTTGAACTAATGCCTGCTGTTATGCAACCATAACAAACGAAGAAAAATAAGCGGGAGAGTAGGGGAACTTACCGGAAAACCTTAATGCCCTATGCAAGCACTCATGATCAAGGCGCCTATACTTTGTAAATAACATATTGTCAAGAACAACTGACTATATTACGAAGATCAGGCGGCATCGGCGAGACAACATCCTCACGGTTTTAACTGTCCTGCGTCATAATCAACCAGTATCCCACAGATAACACAGCACCAAACACATCTTCAACAGGCAGTACCACTAGGAGACAACAGCAGACGTGCCACTGGTCTCGGCTGCGAGCCATGTCCTGTAGTCTCGAGCCAAGCACAAGTTGGGTCACGTGGACATCAGCCTGGAAGGCGAGTTTTGTAGTCAGTGCCTTCGTTTCCCGCTGCCAATATAATTTTGTCCACTTCGAGCCTTGCACCACGTTAAATCTGGTAGACTAAACAAGGCCCTCCTCGGTAAGTCATGGCTCGACCTACGTAGTACGTGACAAAGCCAAAGCAAATTATGCAGTGATATCTGTTGTTCTTTATCTTTATCTTTGCACGATAACCAGCTGTTTGTGACGGTATATTGTCTACACAACGTGTAGGCGCCTTGACCCTGAATGTTTGCTTATGGCATTAAAATTTTCAGGTAAGTCCCTCTTCTCGCCCTCTTATTATCCTTTATTTCATATGTGGTCATGGTTGTATGGCCTCGAGGCATCAGTTCACATTGCTGATGTACTGCTGTTGATGATGATCATGATGAGTTGTTATTGTTCTAAGGAACGTTCGGTTATTACTGTCTGATACTCGTCTGCGCGCATTTTCGTTGCAAGAATGTTGGTGTCCCCCGGAAACCAGCAATGCTCCGAAGAAAACGATGATCAAAGACTTGCAGTCGCCTAAGCTCTTCAGACCGAAGGGGCCAAGTCACACTCTCATAGAGCAGGACCGCCTTCACTGTGACCCTGTATACATGGCCTTTCAGACGGCGGGCAAATCCCTTCTATCTCCGAAGATACCGCAGGTTAGAGAAGGCAGGTCTATCCTTCGCAATGCGTGAGCTGACGTCAGTTTCTATGCGCCCATCATTGCTGATGTAACTGCCAAGATAAGTGAATTGATAAACGACCTCTAGTTCCCCCTTTCCGACCGTCAACATGTCATCAAGTGGCTGGTAGACCTGCGGCAAAACTCTGAAGGTGCGAAGCGCATTCTTAGTGATAGGAACACTCTAGAGAGGTTATTCAGGGTTGTTTGCGGCGTCATAACCTCCTTAGTAAGCATGCCAATATCGTCCGCATAATCAGGATCAACTAGCCTTTCACCGGATAGCAGCTTAACGCCTACCTCCTTGGGCTTTGCGAAGGGACACTCCATGATGGACTCCATGACGAAGTTGAACGAAAACAAGGAAATCCGACAACATTGACGAAAGCCACTTGTTGTCGGAACAATATCCGATAAGTCACCGTAGATCCTGACGCAGCCTGTAGTGGCTGAATATAGGGCACGTAAGGTGTTCACATTTTGCATGGGAACCCCTTTCCGCGCAAGTGATTCGAACAGTATGCCTCGATCATCCGAATCGAACGCACTCTTGAAGTCCAGAAACACACCTCTTGACAGCCTGCGGTATGCATGGCGTTGCTCTACTACCTGCCGCAGAGTGAATATGTGGTCGATACAGCCACATCCAGGGCGGAAACCTGCCTACTCTTCCCTTATCCGGGATTCCCGTTCAGCAGTGAGGCAACAAAAGAGAATTGTGGCCACTTATTTTTTTACTACTGACGTCAGCCTATTATCTCGGTGAACAGCACAATCGGTACGACTGCCACTATAATCGCTTCACTCCAGTTAGCCATGATGGTCTCTTTTTTCCAGACATGCTCGAATAGAGAAGTTAGTGCTTTGCAGAGAACCTTACCTCCATCCTTAAAGAGTACTGGTGTAATGGAATGCGGACCAGTAACACGAAGAGGATTGAGTGATGTGATGGTATTTCGGACCTCTGGCTCCGATGGAGCCTCTAAACTGATTATCCATGGCTCACCATGTATCACTAGAGTAGGAAGTGGTCCACGAGCAGGCGGCCCACTGGCCTGATCTTGAAAGTGCTCCGCCTAACGATCCATATGGCGCTACTACACTAACACGTAAACTGCGTAAATTATCAAAAGAGTTCATTTAAAATATGGGTTAGCTGTGTAATTTGCTTTTGGCTGTCAAGAGCTAATTTATTGCAAAGTAAGCCGCAGATAACACCTGCTAAATTGCCAGAACAAATCAAGTAAAATTGAGTAACATAGAACTGCCATTTGTCCCAACTACTCACATTCGTTGTTTCGTCTCTGCAGCCAAGTTTTTCAGCCAGTCAATGCCTTCTTGTGTTTCCTGATAGTTTCTCATCAGGCGCAAATTTGCTTCCTCCAAATCGTACATAATTGCCAAAAATTGCTCCGGCGACGAAAAGAACACTTCCGATTCCTTGAATTGACACAATGGGATTGTTACTTTCAAATCAGCTGTGTTAATGAGCTACGGTTTACTGTAATAGCATCATCAACAACGACGGCAACAACGAGAGCAGCAGTAACAACAACAACAACAACAACAACAACAACAACAACAACAACAACAACAACAACAACAACAACAACAACAACAACAAGAAGAAGAAGAAGAAGAAGAAGAACTCCTAAGGTGGAAATTTTCTCACCATTTCTGATTTCATGTTGAAGCACGCACAAGAAGCTTACCGCTTCTTCTGTGATGGTATGAGAATCAATTTGTGTCCCTGTAACAATGTATTAGATTTTGATAAAAACTAATTTAATGCGAGAAATTGCAAAGAGGGGTAGTGGATTCGTTTCCCAGGCACATCGTCTCAATTGATGGGATGGCAGTATTTTGCTCCGCATAGATATACAATTTCGGTTGACATATCCGCTATTAGGCATTGAGTTCCGATAGATTCATCGGGCATCATCACCCTACATATTGGCTAACGTCGAGAAACATATCAGTTATTGTGTCACAATAAATTCAATAGGATTGCAGTGTAAAAAATACGGCGGAAAGCAAAGTCAAGACGTCAAGTAATTGCATTATGCATCCTGCATGGTTGAATATTTAGCTACAACACACACGATCTCGACAATGTACCAAAAAAGCAATTCAGAGGCAAAGCAATACGACAAAGAACGGTTTGATAAGGACAGAAAACACAATCACGTTGAAAGTCGACTGGTTACTTCAAGGGTGACAGAGTTGGAGTCACGCAAACGACGCGAAAGACAAGGGATGACTGACGAGCCGTAAGCTTGTGTGTGCGGGCATAGATTAGCTTGTACTTCTGCCGAATAGATGAGGTTGATCTGCTTTCAGATAAAGTGGCATGTATGGGGATGACTTGTATCGGTCAGTATGTTAGAGGCCAGCTTTTCACAAGAAATGATGTATGTAAAAATGAGAGTGTTGGTAAAAGTAGATATCGGAACATCGCTACATCGGGCTAAGTACTTTAATGATCTAAATGACTTGATGCACTGGTAGCTCGGGTTGATCGTTCCTGAGTTCACTTGTTCGCCGAGCTTCGGAATTGGGTTGCAAACGTTTCATCACCAAGCGAGGTGACTTCGTCAGTGCGCTGCTGGGTCTAATCTAATCCGCTGACTTGTTCGTCGATCTGATCTGACAAATTAACATGCTTACCCAAAAGACTAGGAAATATCACAGGGAACAGTACGTTCAATGGGGAAGAACACAGACATGGACAAAGCGAACGATCAACACACGAGGAACGCAGGAAGCTCTGAGCAGAGAGGCATAGAATGCCAGCCTTCTGACTTTGGTGAAGGTCTCAGTTACTTGAAGCGTCCAAGACAAATCGTAACTCAACGTCATACCCAGATGTTTTACCGATGTTCATGGTTATAACCCGTCGCCGTCAATATTAACTTGTATAGTGTAAGGAGCTCCTCGTACCTGGCTCCTTTGTGTAAGGAAAAAAGAAGGTCATGGCCCTTTGAAGCATTAAGAGACAGATCACGGGATTTGGACCAGCCATTAAGATCGTTCAGAAGCGCTTGTAGTCTGAATGAACAATCAGCGCTTTGGTGATTGATGCCCATGACGATATAGTCCGCATATTTTATCAGTCGCTTCAGTTGGACCTGGCATAGAGCTGACGTAAGTAGAGAAGAGAAAAGACGATAGAATTGCTTCCTGAAGGACACCTGCGCTGGTGAGTAGTGGGAAGGAACATCTGCCACTGAGTCAGGTGATCTGACTGCGTTCAGCAAAATAACCACTCAATACATAAATAATGGAGGGATATACTCCTTGACTAAGTAGGTTTTCTAGCAGTAATTCGCGGTTTACACAGCCAAATGCATTGCTGTAGTCAAGAAAACACATCCGAGTTGCTTTATTCCTATTGTCAAGCAATGACAGTACAGAATGTACGAGGTAGACCACAGCATCTAGGGTAGACCTCGAACTACGATAGGTGAACTGGAGGGGTCCTTAGAGAATGTTCTGGATGGCATCATTTCGACAATGACTTGCTCCAAAACCTTCAAAGCAACGGGAGTGCACGTCATCGGTCGATGTTTGTCGGATAATATTTTCGGCACTGGTGTAATGTTGACACTTCGACAACAGTCGGCTACTTTGTGTTGCTGCATACACATTGTGCATATACTCGATAAAAGTGTTCCCAAACAATCGGCACATTCTTTGAGTAAAATAGGGGATAGCATGTCCGGCCCACTAGCTTTATCGGAACGTAGATGTTTCAGTAGATTGTTCACAGTTGCACTGTCAACGGGAGGCAGTAGTCTGGCAGACCCCAGCACTTTGTCACAGAAAGACTCTGGAGCTGTAGTAGTATTACACTTGCGGAACTCCTGATTCAATTTCTCTACGTCTACAACAAAGTAGGGCGAACGTGGAGTAAGTCCGCCAAGCGTTTTCAGCATCCTCCAGAGTTCACGACAACTGCTGTTCTCAAGAACAGACTAGACATACACTTTGTTAAGACGGTGTAGTTCTTCCTTGATACGACGAGAGGTGCCGTCCTTTTTTAAACGCTTTCTCCTTAAGGCGGCGTAGCCACTTCAGGTGGGGGGATGAAAACCTGTCAGCACGGACGTAACTAGTTTCCAAAAGACGTCGGACCTCAAAATAGATGTGTAAATAACGTCAAATTATCTCAATACCTGGATACATCAGGGTCAAAGAACAGAATAAATTCCGTCGGTGCGATCATTTCTCGAAGTCTGTCGAGATTTTGTGGAGAGAACTGTTTCCACCTGATCCTTCGATCAGTGCAGAGAGTGATTTGTCAGTAGTTGTTCTTACTATAGATGACAGGTGAAATCTTGATAGTCAAGTGATCAGAATTACCGATTGGAGCACGAGTACATACGAAGAACCACTTCACATTATTAACAAATACCAGGTCCAAGATTGCGTTTGAGCTTGTAGGCAGATCGAAGGTGTTTCGCAACTCGAGAGCGGTGAGAAAAGTAGTGTCATATCTAATGAAATCTCTGGGTAAGATGCACAGAAGACGATGGATGTGTTTTTTGACGGCTGCATCATAGAAATTCTCGGCTTCCGATTTGGGAAAGGTGTGAGACATGTAGATGTTAGCCAACATCACGGCTTTACATTGTATGATTAAACAATTGATAAACTTCAAGAAGAACCAAGAAACACGTTTTGTTGCAATGCACCAAGACGGTTTGGTGTAAGTAACTACTCCACCACGTCGGTTTCGTTAGCTTCATGGGCGGTCAACCCGATGGCAAATAAATCCTCCAACGGCTACGACTGCATCAACCAATTCTTCATGGAATCAGGTTTCTTGCAACATAATGATTCCAAGCTGCGAAAACTCACTTGAGAAAACAATGTTTGATTGTTCCTTTAAGTTCCCCGTGAGCGATCGGATGTTGGTGCTAAGCAATACTGGGACGCTCAGATCTCTCAACTTTCTCTTCTAAGTGCAACGAAGTTTTCTAACAGAATTGCTAACCAAACTATTGTTTTGCATTAGCATCGACGCCCTGGTTGTAGAGAGAAGGTTAAAAGAGCGGGGCAGGAGAAAAGGCGTAAAACAAATAAGCTAATACGGCTGGTACTTCACCAGGTTCCTCATTTTTAGAACCCCAACCTGGCCGTTGGGAGACACTAACCGATGAACAAGTACGAAATCAGCGTTTTAATTCCTCTCCATCAAGTCATCCGTTCAACCCACTCTACTTCTTCTTGCATCCACACCCAGTCACACAAACAGCGGATGTCACGGGAGTCGAGGTGCTGGAATGCGCAACACGTGATTCAGCCGTCGCAGTATAGTGCGTCATCGTAACTGTGCTGAGCTGTTCATTTGTTCTTCCTGTACCAAATGAACAGCGCAGTATACGCTCATTGCTCACGCGGTGTTCCCAACAGATATGAGTTAAATTGCATATCCACCGGTGGTTGAACGTAGCTTGCCAGTTTATGTCTGTTGCTCTGATAGGCCAGGTTTCACATCCGGAAGCGAAGGTTGAATATACGGCTGCACTGAAGACTTTACCTTTCAGATCAAGAGTGATGTCGTTCCGGTGACACAAGTCACGACGGTTGGCAAAAGCACCTCGAGATTTTGCTATACTGTTCGTGAGCTCATCTGCTCCACATGCGCGTTTCTGAACGGATGTTAACTGATTCCCACTAAGGGTCAGGGCAGGCGTGGATCCCTGCGAATTTTGGAGGAGTTTGTATTTGGAGGGTGTAAAGCATAACGCAAAACGATTGACAGCAAATGCTAATCCGTCCGGTGGTGCTTGGCACGTTTGGAAGCTGTCATAGATGAGCGCAATATCGTCAGCGTGCTCTAAGTCAAGAAGTCGTTCAGCTGGGAGTGACCCCACACCTTTTAAGTCGTTTTCATTGAACGAAGTTTCGATGACTTCGTCGACGGCGAACTTAAAAAGTGAACGTGGCAACGGGTATCCATGTCTCACATCACTGGAAATATTGAAAGGCGGCGACAGGACGCCGTAGGCCCTCAATCTGTCTGAACTACGCGAGTTAAGCGCTCGATCAACGTCTACATATTTTACGGACTCAACTTTATTAGTCAAATTGTCCCAAAGGGCAATCGTTCCGCCGAATCGAAGGTGTCTTTGATGTCGTGGAACATGAGTACTACGGGTCGCTACTAACTATGGCGGTGTCCCAACTACTGACGTAAACTGAGACTGAGTTTAATGCAATCACGACTTTGACGAAACCCGGTATGCGTTTAGTGAATTTGGCTCGCATGGTGCCAGTCAATCTGTCAAGAACGGAAGTAGTATATAACCTAGGGGCGATGGAGACCAAACTGATTCTTGTATGAATTCCCCATTCCGAACACGTGCCCTCTTGAACATCTGACAAAAATAGAGCGGCTCCATTCCGTTGAGTCAGTTTCTTGTTCCTAAAATTCCACTAATAAATTATGTACTTTAGACCTAATGTAGCGAGAACGACGCTGGAGGGCGGCAGAACGTGTATTGCCACAACAACGTGCAACTGATACAAACGCGTACAGATATGGACCGTGTTTCCTTCCCACAGCGCAACGCGGATGACAATTTGTGTGACGGGCCATTCCATGCGCCTACGAGTTTGAGCTTCGGAGCAACCCCTCCAAGTTTTCATCCCGTATGTAACGCGCTTATCTACCCATGAAATTCTGCTACTCGTCGCTTCGTTGATGGATATCGACCAGCGTTCACGTGCGCCTCTCATTGTTAGC